GAGTGTCCACAGTTGTATATGACTCTCACCTAGAACGAGTAATTCTATTTAGCCCCTGAATCCACTTGATGGGTGAGTCATACAACCTAGCTTATCATGACCCATCAGCAATTTCAAATCAAGCCATACAAAGTTCAGAACATCCAACACGTCCAATGCAACTAAGATTAAAAATATAAGCCTGAAACCTAAATATTTACTTGATTTATCTCATCAAATTACTGATTATAATGAACGAACCAAATTTTCTCAAGCCAAGAAAAATACGTAATTGAGAAAAGATATGTCTAAAGAGTTTATAGCACACCAATAGTAATAGACATAAAATTTTGTTTTTCCACCATTAAATTGCTCTACCTTAGGGTGCAAATGGACATACAAGCCCACACGCTATTTGGATGGGGTACATATAAAGCTTGGTTGGTAGCTCAGAGCTTTAAGAAAAGGTATGGGGTTCATTATCTTGAATCCTTTGGATTCGTAGCTTAAATACTGTCAATTATAATTCTATTAGTAGTTTTTATACATGGGAGATCCTTCAATTAGCCGAGTCACATGCTTTTCGATATGGAAAATTAGAAGATGAATTTTATATATCTCAACGCGTGGTTTCAATTGTCAATAGAATCTACAACAAATTTGTTATATGAGAATATTTACATATGGGTTAAAACAAGTACCTAGACAATGATACTTAACTACTTAAGATGGAAAGGATTTAAATTCAATTAATTTTATCCATCACTTCATCTATATCAAAAAGATGGTTATGTTATTTTCCCCATAATCTATCTGGATGATATTCTTCTTACGGAAAATGACTCGATTTTCATATAAGAACTTTCGAGAGTATTCATAGCAAGTTTAACATAAAAAATTTAGAACTGCATCTACTTTTCTAGTAAATCAATTTCACATAACTACATCAAAATACCATCCAATTTAGACCTTATATATACTACAAATCCTGAAACAAGCAAGACTCCAAAACTGCAAAGAAGTCATTACACCATGCTCAACCAATGCTCCACAAATGAATCTTTACAGCGGTCATTTTAGACATCATAAAGTATAGGCATTTGGTAGGAATGCAGATATGCCTTACATTGCATATATGATTAATCAAGAAGTCACTACAACGACATACATTGCATATGTGATTATTCAAGTATACCAACATATGCACTCACCTACATTTGAAAATTTTGAGCAAACTAAACATATATTAAAGTACCGCAAAGAAACACTCACATATGAACTTCGTTTCAAGGAAAGTTCTTCCCTAGTTCAATCCCACTTGGATTCAAAAAGGCTTGGGGATTTGATTACGAAAGTATTTATTTCTAGTCACTACACTTTCCAAGGAAGCAATCTTTTTTAGGGAATCGAACCAAAAACAACCACCTATGGCTAAATCTTCTACGGAAGAAGAATATAGAGCTCTATCGTTAGCCATGATAGAAGTGATGTGGCATAAGCGCAATTGTAGAATTCAACTACTTCTAGGCAGACAAACAATCCTTTTCTATGACAATACATCTTCAATTGCTCTAACAAATAATCCCATATTTCATGCTCGTACCAAGCATTTTGGGACAAAAGGCCAAGTTGAATATTTTGGGTAGAATTGGGGAGATAACCACCACAAATAAGCTATGGACCAATGGAAACCCCATTAGGTCCTCTATGTACTGGTCTTAGCTAAACCCTAGCCTAGGGCTAGTGGGTTTAGGGTTTAGGGGACCATCGGGTTTAGGGGACCATCTACATGAGTCTGCCAAAGGATCAAGGGACCAAAGTTAGGAAAATTTGGGTTTAGGGTTGTGAGGGATTGTGAGTGAGATTGAGTGTATTGAGTGAAAGTGAGTGCCTTAGCCCTAGACCAACACCCATGGTCAACCCTAAAGGCAAAGCAGTCCTATGGGAACTCACCATGAGCTCCTCCATATTGACCCTACCTAGTAAGTGCTAAAGGTTAAGACCAATATGTAGAGCTTCAAGTTGAGCAAGGAAGAGTGTAGAATTTCAAATGGTGAAGGTTCCTTTTCTATTTTTCAAGGAACAGTCGACAAGAAAGTCCTCTAGCTAGACCTTAGGCTACTAGAGAGGAAAAACTAAACCTCAACCAAATGTGAGGTCAACAAGCGCACAATAAGTGTCCACGGTTCTATATGACTCTCACCTAGCACGAGTCATTCTATTTAGCCCCTGAATCCACTTGATGGGTGAGTCATACTACCTAGCTTATCATGACCCATAAACAATTTCGAATGAAGCCATACAAAGTTCAGAACATTGAACACGTCCAATGCTACTAAGATTAAAAATATTTTCCAGAAACCTAAACAATTACTTGATTTATCTCATCAAATTATTGATTATAATGAACGAACCAAATTTGCTCAAGCTAAGAAAAATACGCAATCGAGAAAAGATATGACTAAATAGTGTATAGCACACTAATAGAACCAGACATAAAATATTGTTTTTCCACCATTAAATTGCTCTACCTTAGGGTGCAAATGGACATACAAGCCCACACGCTATTTGGATGGGGTACATATAAAGCTTGGTTGGTAGCTCAGAGCTTTAAGAAAAGGTATGGGGTTCATTATCTTGAATCCTTTGGATTCGTAGCTTAAATACTGTCAATTATAATTCTATTAGTAGTTTTTATACATGGGAGATCCTTCAATTAGCCGAGTCAGATGCTTTTCTATATGGAAAATTAGAAGATGAATTTTATATATCTCAACGCGTGGTTTTAATTGTCAATTGAATCTACAACAAATTTGTTATATGAGAATATTTACATATGGGTTAAAACAAGTACCTAGACAATGGTACTTACCTACTTAAGATGGAAAGGATTTAAATTCAATTAATTTTATCCATCACATCATATATATCAAAAAGATGGTTATGTTATTTTCCCCATAATCTATCTAGATGATATCCTTCTTACGGAAAATGACTCAATTTTCATACAAGAACTTTCGAGAGTATTCATAGCAAGTTTAACATAAAAAATTCAGAACTGCATCTACTTTTCTAGTAAATAAATTTCACATAACTACATCAAAATATCATCCGAATTAGACCTTATATATACTACAAATCCTGAAACAAGCAAGACTCAAAAACTGCAAAGAAGTCATTACACCATGCTGAACCAATGCTTCCACAAATGAATTTTTACAGCGGTCATTTAATCTTTACAGCGGTCATTTTAGACATCATAAAGTATAGGCATTTGGTAGGAATGCAGATATGCCTTACATTGCATATACGATTAATCAAGAAGTCATTACAACGACTTACATTGCATATGTGTTTAATCAAGTATACCAACATATGCACTCACCTACATTTGAAAATTTTGAGCAAACTAAACATATAGTAAAGTACCACAAAGAAACATTCACATATGAACATCGTTTCAATGAAGGTTCTTCATTAGTTCAATCCCACTTGTATTCAAAATGGATTGGGGATTTGATTACGAAAATATTTATTTATAGTCACTACACTTTCCAAGTAAACAATCCTTTTTAATGAATCGTATGAAAAACAACCACCTATGGCTAAATCATCTACGGAAGAAGAATATAGAGCTCTATCATTAGCCACGGTACAAGTGATGTGGCTTAAGTGCAATAGTAGATTTCAACTACTGCTAGGCACACAAACAATCATTTTCTGTGAAAATACATCTTCAATTGCTCTAGCAAATAATCCCATATTTCATGCTCGTACCAAGCCTATTGAAGTTGATCACCATCATTCATCAGAGATAAAATTACAACCAAAATAATTACATTACAGCACAACCACTCAAGGCTGCATTGCAGATATATTCATTAAAGCCTTATGCTCCGCTATTTTTCTAAATCTTTGGAACAAACCTACAGTACAACCTTTGGATGCTAAGCTTGAGGGGCCCTAATGAACCAAACGAGGCTACAAGAAGACGGGAAAGCGAATTATATAACCAATCAAAGGTTGTGATAGTTCTACACAGATTCTCCTCTAACTGGTGCATACATTTATCTAGTCTTTCAATATCTTAATAGCAGTGATGTTTTATTCTTGAGCCTTCAATTCATAGGTGATAGATTGGAAGAGAGAGAGAAAGAGAGAATTTGTCAGTTTTTTTTTTTCGCTTTAAGGTGAGAGCCAAGAGATAAAATTACACAAGAAATAAATATCCGACTTACGAAATAGTGCCATATATAGACTTCATAAAAATCTGATAAAATATTTATCTCTTTAATTATACTAAATGGAAATAAGATTTATTTATTCGGGGGTGGATATGCATAAAGCTTTGTCATTTTCAAATAAACTGGCAAATTCTGTTGAGTAGGGTTGTAATTCTCTAAATGAGCATGCCTATTTAGTATATTGGCAAATCTGATAAACGCATAAAAATGAGCCACTTTTAATCGTTTGGATTGACTCAAGCTAGACAAGCAGTCTAAAACATACAAACATTTCCGTTATCATAATTAATAACTTTCATAATTTCTGATCAAATAACTTGATATTGTTTAAAGATTAATTTATTTGACATGATTTAAAGAATAATCAAATAAGCCCGATGTTTACAGTGGGTTGAGCCTGAATCTAAATTGGTAAGGGATAAAATTGAGTGCTATGTATGCAAATCTTGACTTGATTGTGGCCTTGTGTAATTTTATCTATACAACTCAAAAACTTTTTTTGAGAAATAATACAAAGACTTTCATATTTATGATACTAAAAAATTTGATTATAAATAATAATTATTTTTACTTCGAAATTATTTTGAACAAATTTAGTTTTAAAAACAAAAAACTTAAATTCAGATTCTCTTAATTGAAAAACCGTTAAACCAACGTTTTAATTAATATTAATTAAAAAAAACAAATAAAGTTATTACTACACATTATTTTTTTTTTTAGCATCTCGAAATATAAAATTATTTTAAAAATACAAAGCAATCACCAATGGATGCAAATTAGAAAGCAGCGGCTCGAGCAGAGAATATAAGTCAAATAAATATAAGCTCTCAAATTTACTCTTAATTCACGAACAGCACTATCCGTATCTGTTCTCTCTCTCTCTTATTTTCATTCAGACGTATACAACTCCATATGATAGAAAGCATTAACTATCTGCAACTACAGAAGATTTGAAGTTATACACGCATTCATGATTAAGAAAACAGAAACCGCATTGATGATTTCAGAAAGCAGGAGGCAGCTCTATTACACTAATCGTCCATCTCTGCGACATTTAGTTTCTCTACTGTTTAAAGCTTCCTAATGTGATCTCTTTCTCTTAACGAGCAGAATGTTTCTAAGTATGGACAAAAGCTTCTAAAGCTCAGGCGAGGAGGACTCCATGCTCAATCACAAGCTCCTTGTTTTCTCCATTATCTGTGATTTGTTTTGTGTTCATTTTCTTGAATGGAGGCAGCCCTGGGAAAGAAGATGACAATGACTCACCGCAGCTGGATGAGTTCTCGGACTTGAAGCAAGAACCGACCACACAATTTGGGCTTCCAGGAGAAGAGTAAGAGCAAACTGAATCACAATGGTTGTGATAAAAATCCTTCCTTTTAATCCCGGCGCCATGGCCAAAGCAATCGCCGTTGACACAGAGACCAAGAATGAGCTGGCAGGCGCCAGCTACTCTTTCCTGAAGATGAGCTCGACTAGCTTAAGAAAAAGGGAAAACAATATGATAACAATAGAGGGGAGGGAAGAGAAATGGCATGGGTCAAACCTTTGAAACGTTAAGCAGATCGAGAGGACTATCCATCACCGGCAAAGAGCTGGAAATATCCCCCGGCAGCCTCACCGCGTACACCAGCGCTGCCGCTGCCCAAACCGATGGTGGATACCGAACCCATCCCAAATCTTCGCACCAAAATCCAAGTTTTAGATTACTGATACATAAAACAAAACAAAAAGGCCAAATCTGTTCTACCCACCAGCGATAACAGCCAACAAAGTGGCCTCGCAGCGACGAAAGACCTCCTGCAAGCGGCCGGATGCAGCTGGAATCTTGTGCAGGAGACGGTGGACGAGGGAGAGAGGAGTAACGGGATTCATTCTCCACCCAAGCGTGGACAGCAGGAGGAGCTCCATTCTTCGTATCGTCCGGTTCTCGAACACGTAACCCATTTCCTCGCCAGCCGCCGCAGATGGTACTTGCAAATCAAGAAGCAGGGGAACTCGTGTCTCCTCAACTTTCGCCGCAAGAGAAAGGCAGGCCACTGCGGCAAGCCGCCCCATCCATGGCTTGTCTTCTTGTAACCTTAAACCGCCGCCTCCGGCGGCAAGAAAGCAGCGGTCTAGGTAGTTGACAGCGAGGAGTACCGTCTGAACAGAAAACCCATGTTGAACGCTAGTTCTTGCCACCCATTGAACGGCATTACTCCTCGCCGGAATGAGGTAGGTGTCACAGGCAGCGACTGAGAGTTCTGGGTGGGTTTCCATCTCGTTGGCAAGGAGAGAAGAGAGCGCTTCCGTCCACCCCTCATCATCCTCATCTTCTTCTTTATCCTCTGCTTCGTTGAATGCAAGAAACTGCTCAGTTTCTTCTTCCTCAAAATGATCTTCCTGGCAGAAGAGAGGGTCAAACAGAGAAGAGAAAGACATTATCTTTCTGCTTCGCTTCTTCTTCCTCGTCCTCACTGGCGAAGCGAGCTCATGCTTCTAATCTCTTTGAGGATCCGTGTTTTGGTTGTCTCACATCTAGACTCCGGCGATAGCTTTTAGCTCTGAGTCTGGTTTTGATGTCTTTTCAGCTTCGGCGAGGACGGCCTCGGGTGGGAGGGAGCGAGGAGGCTCTTGCCCGTTCTGCAGAGAGGGTAAAGAGGGAAAGGGGCGGGGGTTTTAATTGGCCGCTGCCGCTTTGTCCTTTAACTTTCCCAAATTTCCTCCTTTATTTTTTTACTTTTTCTATTATGCGGAAAAGTTGATGTTTACCGTTCATCCTTTGTTTTTATTATTGTTTACTGATGGTTACTGTCCTTTTAAGACTTCTGTCAACTGCCCATCGCTTGTGAGTTGTAGGCCCGTCCTAATTCTTAGATGTTAATAAATGTTTGGTCTAGTTGCTATGATTAAATTATTTTAATCCTACTAATTTTATAAATGACATATGATAGTGAGATTATATATATATAAAAATAAGATTGTGATATTATATATATATATATATATATATATATATATATATATATATGATTATGAGATTATTTCAACAAGCTTTATGTCATTGTTAATACCATAGAAGTAAACCCATGGAGTCTAAATTTTATGTTTTTTATGTAAATAATTCTATTTTATTTTTTTGATATATTTTTGTTTGGTTAAAAAGCCTTTAAAATATTCATAAGGCCAAAATAATCCCTAATTAAAATAAGATGGATAATATCTTAAATTTATGCAAACATTCAATCATTTTAAAAATTGAATCACTCTGTTATCTCTTCTAAGCGTTTTCTATAATAACCTCCTTCCTCGATCAAGTAGAGAGCCAGTTCTCTTGGCTTTATTGCATATTCTCACTTTCAATCACACTAAAAGAGATCACCTCATGTCATTCATCTCACTATAGTAAATAGATAAGGCAGGATTTACCAAGTTTTTAATTTCAGTTATAACACATTCGCCATGCCGCCCAACATTAATCCTCTAGTGTCATCTCATGCTTTCCATTGAATGAATGTCTAGCTTGATTACTATGTTAAAGGATGATGTCAAACACTATGTTAAAACACCATGCGAGAAGACGATTTTTGAAAGTGAGATTTGATATAGAAGTTCATTATAGATTAGAAAAAAATTTGAACTAGCAATATGTGATTTGAATTAGGTTTCAAAAACTATTAATTTTAATCTTATTCAAACTTATTTTGAATTTTGTAAGCTTATGATTCAAATTGAAGATAAAAGGTGGATCAAGACCTTGTCTAATCCTATTGTCTAAACATTTAGTTGAAAAGTTATGTTCGAACCTTGTTTCGAAAAGATTCTAAGTTTTGATTCGTAGGGTTGAACCATGCAATACCATATAATTTGATATTTTACCCATATCATAACGTGGTTCAAAAAATTTTTGAAATCCTATGAAAGGATTCAACTTAGTTCAAATCGATAGCTTAAACTTATAATTATTCCATTTGCCTTTTTATGAATATTAATGTCAAATTTTAGCATCTTTAGAAAGTTGAGTAATAGTGGCCGATTCACTTATATAGTTGTGGTATAATAAAGAAAGTTACAAACAATGTAAAATTTTTTTGCCCTTTACATGTAACTTCTAGAGCCTTGACTCATTAAGTACTTGTAAATAATAAATGTTACTTTGTTAATTTTAATGGTAAAGATAATAATACAGAATTTTTTTTTTGAATTTGCATTAATAATTGGATTGGATTTTTTAGAATCATTTAATGTTCATAAGCGTGCATATGATAAATTGTTATTTATTTAAATGCTAACACAATTTTAAGAATACAAATCCTGAGAATATTTTTATTTTTTGCAATGATCTATGAATATTTGAAAGTTATGGTTGTATTTTGTCATTGATGGATTGATATTGAGTTGAGATGAGAATAGCATTGCTTTTTAGAGATGTTATCAAAGTTGGTCAAAGAAGAGTTATTATCTTATTTGTTTGTTTTTTTCAAATCACATAAAATATTTTGTTTTCTACTTATATTGTTGTACATTATTTCATAGCATAATGGATCTTTTTATGCTTTCATATTTGGGTAATAATTATGACCCCTGACAAATGCTTCGACGCTCAGGTGGATTACGCAAGTGCACGGTCAAAGTAGTATCTGATTTTCTTGAGTCTAGATTATCGATCCCATAGAGAAATGGGGTGAACTAATTTAGTAAAAATTTCTAGCTTACTTAATTCGTCCTCAGTTTGGAGTTTAAAGAAACTTAAGTTATGTTATCAGTCCCTACTATAATGCAAACAAGTTTAAATTATACTCCTATGGGATTTCTGATTCTACCGCATGCCAAGTGTTAAAGCTACCCTTCCTTACAGTGATAGTAGTGGAGTGTAGAAAATGAGAAAGAAAATGCAAAATTAAAATGTGGCTAGTGACAAATAGAAGCATTTATCATCTTTACTTTCTCCCGAGTGCATAAAAAAGTTTGGTTAAAGTGGCATTAATTCCTTAAGTCCCACTTTGAACCCAATCACGATTATATATCTATGCATTTGCATCTCCCTATAGCATGCTTTTGCTTCATATCCTATAGTTCAACGTGATCTTTCTAGTTATTCATGTCATTGATCTCCCGAGTCATTAATAGTTCATAATAGATTTTAACAAACCATGTGGCTAGAATGATAGGTGAATAAAAATTGGAAGGAAAATTGTCACAGTAAAAGGTAAAAAGCAATTTAAAATCATTTCCACATTTCTACACATCCTACTACATTACTAAAAGGAAAAGGCAGAGGAGATTACTCATAACACATAGACAAAGCACCACAAGATTTCAATGAAACAAAGAGAATCGACATACTAAAAGTGTTTAGAAAAAAATACAAGACTTAAACACAGTAGTAATTTTCTCACTCCCTCAATACCGCCTTGAGAATTCTCCACAAATGCCCTTGTTGCTTTCCTGTAAACTCTCATCACTTTAACACTTAGATACTCACCAATTCCCTACTCTAGAGTTGCTCTCTCTAGCCTAGATCACACCTTCCAGTCTCACAAACAGTGGAACTGAAACTCTCTAAAGACTCCCTCTCAAAACTCTCCAAGGCTATCTTAAAGAACTCAAAAAGACTCTTCTCCCCCCTCCTTCCCAATGTCTTCAAATCTTCTTATATAGCCATTAATATCTTCTGTTTAAAATGCTTCTGGTCTACCCAAATGACACTTTGAATAGGTGGATTGAACAACTGCAACTGCATAGAATTCAGTTCTGGAGCTTAAGCACCCGACTCTTATGGCGCCAAGGCCTTGGCCTTCACACCCGAGGCTTTAGCGCCTAGTGGTTGGAGCTTAAATGTTGAACTCTCAGTTTCTCAGATTGAGCCTGACGCCTAAGCGCCCTAAATGTCTGGCGCCAAATTCCCAGCCCACTCTGTAAGCTTTTTCTCCATTTCTACTCCTTTTCATTCCAAGTATTTTCCAACTAGCTCCACTCTTAATACTTGTTATACTTACAAGAAAAATATTAAAATATCTTTCTTTAAAGTGTAATTTCATCCAAAAATATGCGCAAAAAATAAATGAATTCATGCAATTTTTTTACGCTTTAAAATCCCTAAACTCAAAGGTTACTTGTCCTCAAGTAATGTTAGAGTTAAAATATCAAAGTAACTTAATGTGAGGGAGTGGGTTTCATTAAAAATATCAACAAATTTTCCTCAAGAAATTCATAGTGTATATTTAAGTTAAATTTATTAAATAAGCCTAGTCCTAGAGTATAAGAAACTTTCATTCAACCAAGAAAACATGAATTCTTATTTAATTTAAAAAAGTAATTAATACTTTTTAGTTATAGTATCTTAGATGATAGAAAAGAAAGAATTTAATTTCTCTATTTAAAAAGAGTTACTAGCGCAACACAAATACAAGCAATTTAGGAAGGAATTAAGGCTTCAACTCCAAATATGGATTAGTGAAACCAACTTTTGATAAGACTTCTCCTCAAGCTTCTTCTTCTTCAATAATTTCATCCTTTCTCTTTATTTTTATTTTCTTTTTCTTCTTCTTTTTTTCTACTTGTTTTAAGTTGTATATTTTAATCCCTAGCATAACTTAGGGAGGCTTACTATATTTGAATGCCCATTATAATAATTTTGAATTCCACTATTACCTTCTTAAAGTGAAAACTACCACAATCCTTCACTTTGTAAACTTATGAAAAATTAATAAAAACTGTTCAAAAATAAAGATTTAATAGAGACTCAATTCTTAATAATTATATATCTAAGAAAATCTAATTTCATAAATAAAAGTCATTTCAGAAATAAATAATCTATTAATTCTTTCTACTTATTAAATTACAAGTTATCTTAACTATAGTCTAGTTTTATTTACCTTAAATTTAAAATAAATTGACTATGTTTTTTCCTTTCTTAAAAATTGTAGTAATTTTAAATTAACTCAACATTCCTCAAATTTAAAAGTATAACATTTTAAATATATGTTATTGAGAACAAATAACTTTAAGCTTCTAAAATAACTTTTCTTCCCCTACCCCACCCAAACTTAATTTTTATCATATGTTAGGATAGGAAGAATGAATGTAAGCAAGGAAAATTTTCACAAGCATACTTTGTACATCATGTGTCTATCGTAGAATTATCAATTTTAAGCACAATACACATATATGAAATAAGAATTATATCAAAGCCAACAAGCGTGAAATAAAACTACAAAAAAAAAAGTCTAAATATCTCCACAGATCTATAGAAATGAGCTCACAATAACAAAACATAAACCGAGATAGAGAGTAAAACAGAAATAGTAACAAATAACCAAAGAAAATACACCACAACCATCGACATAACAATAAGAAAACTTAAAAAAAAATCAATCCTCCTCCTCCTCATCAACATCATCATCGCCGGCTTCTTACTCGTTAGATTCCTCATCCTATGAATCCTATCCCATTGGCTGACTCTGCTCGTATAGCTGGTACGGAGGATAAGTTGGGAA